CGCGGGGTGCGGGTTTTATGGCGGGGGAGGGTGTGGTCGGAAGCCGGCGGACGCTTCAGCGGCGATGAGCGGTTCGAGCGGAGTTGGGCGAGGAGCGGCGAAGCGACGTGATCCTGGACGCGGGGATCGCGACGGACGGAGAACATCAGGTTGGACGTCGGGAGCGGGGGCTACGGCTGGATCTGCGGGAGCGGGAGTGCGCCGACGCCGCCGGAGGGGAGGCGGAAAATCACGTTGACCACCAGCGCGAAGCGGAGGTTTGCGTGGAGGCTGGAGGGGGGGGGGCGACGAGGAAGGGGCGGAGGTGAGGCTGGTTGCGGTGAGCGAGGGAGGAGGAAGGGGCAGCGAGGGAGGCGATGCTGGGGCGGCCCGGGAGCGGTTTATGGACGCGCTACGGCACCTCCATGAGGGGGCTGACGATCCGCACCGCCGACGCAGTCAGGATAAGCAGTATGAGAGGTGATGGACACGGTGGGCCGGCTCGGGAGCGATATGGCAGTGTCGGCGCAGTATATGAGGTGGCAGGTTGGATAGAAGGGTGCGGGCCCGAACGCACGGCGGTGGTGTGGAGCCGGGACGAAGCGGTATATGGGGCGAGGGGGGACGCGGGGGCGGGGGGAGGGTTAGTATCTGCTGCGGTCCAGCACGACGGCTGGGGGCACGGCGCAGATCGTGCCGGAACTAATGGCGGCATGACGGATGAGTCGAGGCGGCGGCGGTCGTTCCGTTTTTTCGCTCCAAGACGGAGCGTGGGACTGCGACCGATCTGGACACGTGACGCACAGACGGGCGATCGCGGCGCACATCTTCCTGGCGGTGATAGAATATCAAGAGGGCTGAGTGGACATGACTAAGAAACAAGACGGATGAAGGAGAGCGAATTACACTGTAGGGGAACGGGATCCGAACAGGATGAGCAGTGGGTGAGGAAATGAACCACCACGATCCGGGAGGCAGAGGAGACGAAGACAAGGAGGGGAAAGATCGGGAAGAGGAAGGAGGTAAGTGAACCCGGACAAGGGGGGCAATACAGATAGAGAGAGAGGTGGGCGTCGCAGCCCCACCATCACCGCCGGCGCACCCGCCGGAAAACGGACCCAAAACACACAAACGTAGTGCCAGCTCTGATGGCACCCGTTTTGCAGCCGTATTGCCTTTGGCTTCAACGGATTGCCGAACGTCACGTTTGGGGAGTTGGGTTCAGACCGGCCAATCGCGGCGCAGGGCCGCGAAAACTCCCATCGCTAACCCGCGCAGATGGCCGCGCAAACAGGAGCGGCCGGTCTTCAGACCGGCCACGCGACCGCAGGCAGGTCGCGAAAAACTCCATCGCCAACCGCGAAGATGGCGCGCAACAGAGCGCGGCGGTCCTTCAGGATCAGCATCGCGGACGCAGGCGCGAAACTCAATCGCTAAACCGAGAGATGGCGCGCGACAGCGGGCACCCCACCGGGAGAACAGGCACCCCCCATCCGGCCGGTACCAATCTAACGGGTAGTGCTCTCCCCGCGAGTACGATTTGCTCCGTGCCCGAAAACTGCTCATCACCCATGCCGCCTCACTGTGGGCGGGAACGCTTTTCTCGGCGCCGCCCAGCCGCCGACTCCTCCGGAGAATCGGTGTTCCACACTTCTCGATCGCCGCCGTGGACACCGAGACCGTGCGAAAACGGGGGTGGCGGGCACACCGTAACAGTGCGTCAGCAAACGACAAGTTGCGTGGGTCGTCGCGTCGGTGCTCGGGTCGCCACCAGGCCACGCACCCGCCCAGTACGGCAGAGGAGCTGCTCAGCGCTGTCGCGTCGGGCATGTCCGCGGAAGAGGCGCTCCGCGACCGGCTCGCGCACGACGAGAGCGCTGTGAATTCCGGCAGGTCGGAGTCGTCGGGTCGTCGGCGTGGCCAGCACACGGGCGCCGAGAGCCAACTATGGGCCGGGCACCGGGCGAGGGCCCAGGACTACGCGGCGCAGGGCAATCTGATCGTGGGGCGTCAGGTGCGTGGCGACGAACGTCGCGCGGAATTCGAACGCACGCGAGCACGGGACTAGCTGCCTCTCGCTGGCGGACCAGCTGCGGAGATCCCGCACGCACCTCAGAAGCACGACAGGCCGCGGGGTGGCGACGAAACGCGCGGCCGAGGACGGGAGGCAGTCCGCGTCGGGTGCTGGTTGCCGACACCCGGGAAGGCGGATCGCGCCCGCGACGACGGAGATTTCGACACCACATCAACGTCTGCGAACACGAAACCCGGTTGTGCACGACTGCGGCGGATTCACGACACGAGGTCAGCCAGAAGTCGGCTACGCACAAACTGACCATGTTCAGTGGGGCGACAGTCCCTGCAGCTCCGGATTCTGAGCGGAGAATTTCGCCGGACTGCGAGGGCGGGACGGACACCCAGGCGGACCTCCGGCGAAGGTGGGGACCTCGAGGCCGCGCACGCCTCAGGTTGGTCTTCGACGCGGGACTTGCCGGCGCGGAGTGGGACACCTGCCGCACGATTGGGACTCTCCGCCGGAGCCGCGGCGGTTCTCCCACCGGGCTCGACGACGGCGAGTAGTGGAACGGCGTGGGAACTAGTCGAATCGAACGATCGGGGGAGACGCCGCGCGCGCCGGCCGCCTCGATCCAACCCGCCCGATCAACCGCTGAGCCGTTCCGAACGACAGTAGCCCCCAGAGGAACCCGAATGCCCAGACCGATGCAGGACGACGGTCCGGATGATCTCCGCACGACCAACGTTTTCGATCCCCACGCCGGAGAAAATGCGGGCCGGTCATGAGCGCCGCCGAAGTGGGCGACATTGGTTTGTTGTGCGGCGACGATCCGTAGTCCGCCGTCGCGAAGAGCGCGCCGCCGAGGTTCTGGGCAAGGACCCCCCCACGACCCCCCCCCGGCACGGTGCTTCACCCCGCCAGGCACGTGGAGCAAAACCAGATTCGCCCATCACGCGCCAGACCGAGCCGGGCGACACTGATGTGGCCGAGCGCCGCGCCCACGCCTATCTCGTGGAAGGCGGAGGCACGGCCGCCGCCTACGGTGGGACCGTCGTGGGTTTCTCTCGACGGGGAACGGGAGGAGTGTTTTCGCCCCGCGCAGGTGCGAGGACCGCCGGCCGGAGCCCCGCACCAATGGTTCGCCGCGAGGCCCTCGATCCGGTTTTTGCGCGGGCTCACTTGCCGGACTGAGAACAAGCATAACGGCGCCGGCGGCGCGGGCTGCCGCTGGAAGTTTGCGGCAGGGTGGTTGCGGACAACGCGCGTGAGCTAGGTCTGGAGACCCTCTTGACGGGTGCGCGGGCTGCAGCCACGGCGCCACCGGGATCCCGAGAGCAGTACACGCGGGGCTCTAGAAACGGTGAGCGTCTGTTTTTCAAAAGGTTCTCGGCGCGCCGATGGGAACTGACTGGGGGCGGAGCCTCCATGATCAAGAGAGCCCGGCGGTTTCCGCCCATCTCTTCGGGCGGAGTGGTTTTCGGAGGCGGGGGATCATGGCGGCAGGGGCTCTCCCAGACGTGGAGAACCAACGCGGAGCGACTCCAGGAGACCATCGCCGGGACCGGCGGATCGCCGAAAGACCATGGCAGGCCTCCCCGGGATCTCCGCGATCCTTGGCGTCGAGGGACGAACATCCGTCCGCTTTCCGGAAGAAAGGAGACAAATGAACGAATTACGGATGGGCCGAGAGGACTCATAGACAGCGGAGGTCGCCCCGGTTGTGATGCGGCGTCGACGAAGCGATGAGAGTACACATTCACCTGGTGGATTTCGACGAAGACCGTCAGGAAGCGATCGGCGCGTTCGCGATTTTTTTTGGTCCTCAGCGCATCGTTCCCGCCTAGGGCTTCCCCACGAGACAACCGACGGTGTTCGCACAGGCACGGCGCTCACGCTTCGGCGTCCCTCTCGTTCACGAGTGCCGCGACCCAGCGGCTCGCACCCGTCATCGGCCAGCCACCGGGATCGGACTCCGGATGCGTACCCCATCGGAGATCCGGCGCGCGCGCCTGACAGAATCTCGATGACCTCGGGGGGAGCATTGAGCCGAGCGGCACCGGTCGTCGGTTGATGAAGGCATGATTGCTCCTCCAACGGACCGCCGCCCAAAGAGCGTTGTTGAGCCCGATCATTCGCGAAAGCGGATCAGCAGCGGTCGAAGCAGCAGACGAACAGTGTACCGTCATGCCGTAGCCGGAAAGCCATGATCGAGAGGAGGTATCCCGCTCGGCCGGTCCGGTTCAACGTACAGCCACAGGCCTCGAGGAGAGCGGCTACCGCCGGTTCGTTTCGCACGTGGATGGCGTGGAGGAGCGCCGAGTATCACTAATTACATTGGATATAAATCCGACCAGTCAAGGGAAGCGGGGCGATGAGTAAAAAGAACAAGAGAGGAGGAGGAGAAAGAAAAAACCAAGAGAAGCGGACGCGATGGAGGAGAGGAGCAGGGAAAGAACGCAAGAGAGAGGGCTAAAGTGGCAGAGACAAAGAAAGGCAACGAGGCAGAGCGGCGTAGCAGGGTGAGGGAGCAAACAGAGGGTGAAAGAAGCACGGAAGAAACGAGGTGGGAGAACCTAGGGTGGGCTTGCAACGGGACCGGACAGCTCTCCGGCCGCGGCCGCGGCCCCGAGCGGGGTGTAGTCGATCCCCTCGGTGCACGCGAGGAGAGCGGGCGCGAGCGCGGCGGCGAGGATCAGTCCGCGTGCCGGAGCGAACGGGTTCTTCGGTTCGGGAAGGAGGGGAAACGGCATATGCGACGGGCTCCGGCGGGGCGGTTCTGCCTTCCTGAACGAGCGGGCGGCGCGGGCGGTTCTCGGGGCTCGGCTGCGGGTGTCGTTCAGGGGGCGAAATGCCACCCGGAACATGCTACCGTCCCGCGCCTCTTGGCTAGGCCGGCCCTTTCCCACCGCCCGTTCGACGAAGTCGACTCCCAGGCGATCGCCGCGATCCGCGGGCTCGCCATCGACGCCGTGGAGAAGGCGAATTCGGGCCATCCGGGGCTTCCATGGGAGCGGCGCCGATGGCCTGGGTGCTCTGGAGCCGGTACCTGACCATGTGCCCGACCGATCCCGGCTGGCCGGATCGGGATCGCTTCGTGCTTTCCGCGGGGCACGGCTCGATGCTGCTGTATGGACTCCTGCACCTTGCCGGCTATTCGGTGAGCCTCGACGACATCCGGAGCTTCCGGCAATGGGAAAGCCGCACCCCGGGACATCCGGAACCCTTCGCGACTCCCGGGGTCGAGGCCACCACCGGACCGCTGGGGCAGGGCGCGGGGAACTCGGTGGGCATGGCGATCGCGGAGCGCGCGCTCCGGGCGCGGTTCCCCGGGCTGGTGGATCACCGGGTCTTCGCGCTGGTGTCCGACGGCGACCTCATGGAAGGCGTGTGCTGTGAGGCGGCTTCCCTGGCCGGCCAGCTCGGACTCGGGCGGCTGGTCTGGCTCTACGACCAAAACGACGTCACCCTCGACGGGCCGGCTTCGCTGTCCTTCTCGGTCGAGGACGTGGCCGCCCGCCACCGGGCGCTCGGCTGGCACGTGCAGACCGTGGCCGACGGCAACCACGACCTCGACGGAATCGACGCGGCGATCGCCGGTGCGGTGGCGGAGACGGAGCGGCCGTCGTTGATCGTGGTGAAGACGACCATCGGCTACGGCGCGCCGACGAAGGCCGGCAAGGCGGCCGCCCACGGGGCTCCGCTGGGCGCCGAAGAGGCGGCCGCCGCCAAGGCGGCCCTCGGGCTCGATCCGGAGACCTTCTTCGCGGTTCCGGCGGGAGTGCGCGAGCGGTGTGCAGAGCGCGCCGGGGAAGGGGAGGCGGCTCGCAGCGCCTGGTACGGCAGGCTCGAGCGGGCCCGGACCGAAGCCCCGGAGCAGGCCGCCGAGTTGGAACGCCGTCTCGGGAACGGCTTGCCGGAAGGTTGGGACGAGGGGCTTCCCGCCTTCGGTCCCGGGGACCGGCTGGCCACCCGCGACGCTTCCGGGAAGGCCATGAACGCTCTGGCGGCGCGCATCCCCGAGTTCTTCGGCGGCGACGCCGATCTGTCCTGCTCGACCAAGACCGCGCTGGTCGGTTTCGGTTCCCAGTCCCAGGCGACGCGAGCGGCCGCAACCTCCACTACGGAGTCCGCGAGCACGCGATGGCGGCCGCGGCAAACGGAATCGCCTACCACGGCGGGTTCCGCACCTTCGCTTCCACGTTCTTCTGTTTTGCCGACTACATGCGCCCCTCGGTGCGGCTCGCGGCGATTTCCGGGCTTGCCGGTGGTCTACGTCTGGACCCACGACTCGGTGGGCGTCGGGGAAGACGGCCCCACCCACCAGCCGGTGGAGCACCTCATGTCGCTCCGCGTCATGCCGAACCTCCACGTGGTGCGGCCCGCCGACGCCAACGAAACGGTGGAGGCGTGGCGGCACGCGCTTCGCCGCACCGAGGGCCCCACGGCGCTGGTCCTGACCCGGCAGAAGGTGCCGGTCCTGACCACCCCGAACGGGCCGCCGGTCTCCAGCGCGGCGGTTACGTGCTCCGGGAACCGGATTCCGCCCGGCAGGCGGTGGTGATCGCCACCGGTTCCGAGGTTTCTCTCGCGGTCGCGGCGGCGGAGCAGCTCGATTCCGAGGGCGTCGGGGTCCGGGTCGTCTCCCTCCCGTGCTGGGAACTCTTCGGGGCCCAGGACGCGACTATCGGGAGCGCGTGCTGCCCGCCGGAGTCCCGCGGGTCGCGGTGGAAGCCGGTGCGACGCTGGGCTGGGAGCGCTACGTGGGGGATGGACCCGTTGTCGGCGTGGACCGCTTCGGGGCTTCCGCCCCCGGCGACGAGTGGCCCGAGCGGCTGGGACCTGACGGCAGCGGCAGGATGTGAAACGGCAAATCCGGCTCGGTCGTAGGCCGCGAACTAAGAGGAGCGCCAAGAGCGCGGGGGCACTAGGAGCCAGTCTTCAGACCGGCATCGGCCCGGCGCCCGCGTATTTGTTGGCGGACGGAGAATCGATTGACCATGAGTGCATCTTGAAGAGGTGGGTAAAACCAACTAGCTCCCAGAGGGGCGGTGCTGAACATGAAGGAGGTGTTGGCAAAAGACGACGATTCAGTGCTCACGTAATGAGCGTCCTTTAGCACCGTAATAGGATCAAGACTCTGATCTTGACCTTGACCTCAATTAAACTAAGCAGACCCTGATACGCCGTCGGATATACGACCGGATCAAGGCTCTGATCGGACGATTCTGGCCGCCATGGGAACCGTCGCCCCGACGGGGGCTATTACGACAATCAGGACAAGCGTCGTGATCCGCCAGGAAGCACAAGACATTATTCGAATCTAAAGGTATATACGGAAGTCGAAGATCCAAACTTGATTTGCTACCGGGAAGATTCCGGCATTGTCAAGTACAGCTATGATTGATAAAACGGCACGAAACTGGCTGGCCGTTCAGTTCAGAGACGGTTTCGGCGTTTAATAGGCAGAGTCTAGAACAGAATGGCTTGATTTGTTTGTTGCACTCCAGTCGTTCGTTCCTCACCCGTTGTGCCTTTACGTGTGCACTCACTCCTAGTCCAGTCGAACAGATCGGTACTCGGCTGTTAGGTTTAGAGATTCTCGACCATTCGTTGGACAAATACCGACAATCGACCCAAAAGCCAGAACTTGCTAGTACTGCTCAACGGAACTTCCACGGAAGCATTATCAGTCTGCGGTCGAATCGAAGAGAACTGCGTGCACACAAACACGTTCGGTAACAGGGTATGACCAATCCTCTGTACCAGTCCGGTTTCCGGTTTGGTTAGAGCGCGAAGACCGGCTTACACTGGGTTTTGCGACGACGCCCCTTTGCCATGGAGAGAATTGACTAAAGCATGAGATTGTTTGGTTGTCGATTGAGCTCGCAACCGCAATTGGAAAGAAACAAGATGCCAGCGTAACACAAGAAGGGAAAAGAAAACTATCCTCCTTCTGGGCAGGATCAGGACTGTCACAAAAGGAGGGAGATCATTCGGTATTGAAAGATTTGCAGGTTACATGTTGCACACGATTCGGTGGCGGACCGACACGTTCAATACTTGCGACAGCAATACTCTTGCCTTGGGACGAGATTGCGGACCTCCATACTCAGAGCGTCCACAGCAGCGAACAGATTATTTAGGAAGAGTCGCACCGCCATGTTGGTGAAAAAAAAAAACGAAAGAACGTTTTAACAAAAAAAAACTTCTCACTGCGTGTTCAGTTTCTGTAAGAATGACGCAGGGCCTCTAAGAGTAAACCAGGGGGGCCCGGGCCTTGGTGGGCATTGTTGAATTCCTTGCAGCGAGAGAGACCGGGTGTGGGCAGCAGTTGTGGAAAACCGCCGCATAAGGAGAAGTCTCTAAATCTGGTACGGACATTGCTACGGCCACATCGGACCGAGCGAACTTACTTCATCATGCGGAAGCTTGTCAGGAACAAATATGTCCACAAACGAAACAGGATGGCCGTTTTTGACGACAAAATGATAGTGCGAACGAATCACGCAAGTGTAGCGATGCATGGAGAAGGGTCGCATCAACATCAGAGGATGTGGCGACGAAATACTGCACAGCCACGAGGAAGCGAACGAACTCGCTTGGGCGTGGCTTGGTTACATACGCAGTTTCAAGGCAAAACTGGTTGGTTCGAGGATGACTGCTTGACGGCTTTAACGCCTCACGTATCGAAGATGGAGGTTCCCTCGTGATGGGCCTTGTCAGCCCTGAAGTATTCGCGATGCGGAACAGGTCGACATTCTGGTCGCGTGGCTATTTTTCAAAGATCACACTGTCGCAGAGTGGGAGCACGTTAGAGTGAAACCGGTGAGAAGTATCGTCTTGGAAAAAGAAGTGTTTCAGTAGTATCTTGGCTGTATAACGATCGATTCAGTGATCGCTGAAAAATGCTCCGCGCCACGGTACTGGGGCGACGACGACCCTATCGACTTCGATCTGCCATAAAAAAAACAAAAAAAAAAAAAAAAAATAAATAAAAAAAAAAAAATAAAAAAAAATAAATTAAAAAAAAAAAATTTTAAAATGTGGAAAAAAAAAACAAAAAAAAAAAAAAAAAACAGAAAGAAATTAAAAAATAAAACAAAAAAAAAAAAAAAAATAAAAAAAAAAGTAAAAAAAAAAAAAAAAAAAAAAAAAAAAAAAAAAAAAAAAAAAAAAAAAAAAAAAAAAGGAAAAAAAAAAACATTAAAAAAAAAAAACAACAATAAAAAAAAAAAACAATACAGGCCAAAATAGTTGCCACAGTTGCCATCGTTGGTCCAGATCCAGGAACTCGTCCAAGGACGACCCGCTGCCTCGAAGGGTGTCAGCTCCAGGGAGAGATATACGAGTAAAGTACTTGAGCGACTTCGCACCGCCGGCCTTCGGTAACAGAGTGGCCGATCTCCGGAAATCTTGGTGTTGTCGTCACGGTCGATCAAGGGACGGCTTAAACTGCGCAAGTCAGGAAGCTATGTAGACCATAAAACCACTTGACGACCGGCATTCGGATGACGAGTGGGCCGGAGGTCGGTTGCTTCCGGTAACGGCGTGGTTTTGGCGCGGGTTTGTGGCAAGCATCTGGCGGTTGGTACGTTCACGGGGGTGGGACGTACCGGGTCTCGCGGCACTGCGGGCCGCGATGCGGTCTGAACCCACTTCGCCACCTTTGAGGGTCGGGGCGGGCCCCATCCAGCGCTGAGGGTAAGTTCGAATCAGGCCTCCAAAAGTCGCCCAAAGTGGCAGTGAGGATCCGAAACGGGCCAACAGGAGACGGGGCTCTCTGAGTGGGCGGACGGCGGCTCGAAGGGGCGGGAGAGGCGTGTAGTGCCAGTTTCTTTTGTGGAAGGGCCGTTTGGTCTTGACTTGATCCCGCCGTCCGCCACATCCTCCCAGCCTTCTCGCCGACTCCGCATGTACCTCCGCGCCACACAAGACCACACCAGGGACGGCAAGACCGCGAAGAGTTACGCCTGTCCCGCGGTACGGATCGGCGACAAGGCCGCCAAGGAGAGCCCTGTTGAACGTCGGGGACGTATTCCGTTCCGTATCGCAGCCAGTGGCGGAGTTGTGCTCTGGTGACCGAGCTGCGTCGGCGGGCCAACGGCCGATGTTGCCTTGGTGCCATCGGATATCAGGTGGCGCGAGGACCTGGTGCGCCGGCGGCGCGCGGTGGCTGGGCCTGCAGGAAGGAGCCGAGAGAGACGGGGACGGGGCCGCGAGCGGTGCGACGGTGGACCTGGATACGCGTGCGCGATGACGACTCTCGCTCGCAGGAGGGACGTCGCTGTTTGCATGGCAGGCTGGAGGCGCTGCGCTTTCGGGACTTGCTGCACAGCGCAGTGAGGTGCGGGGCCGGGATTGCGCGCGCGGATCGCCACCGCAGCTGGTGGTGGCGAAGATAGATGCTGCATCGAGCAGCGAGCGGGAGGCGTTGCGTGGGTTGCTGGTGCGAGACAGCGCGCCGCGCTGAGCTCTGGATCTGGAGCGTGGCATAGACGGTGTCGCTCAGAAGCTCGACTACCGGACGGGGGACGTGCTGTGGTGTTGTGGCAGCTGCGGCGCTGCGGCGAGCGTGCAGCGGGGCTGTTCCGTCGGGAGCGGAGCTGTTGGCAGTTGCCGTGCGGACACGATCGTTTTCTACGACTGACGAACACCGGTATACGGGCCGTTCGACAGGAGCTGTTGCGGTTCGGGCGCTCGAAGGAGGGGCGGAGACGCACCCGTGGTGGACGCTGGTGGCCTGTGTCGCCGGATGGATGCTGGGGTTCCGCGGGAAGGGTGCGAGGTTCTGGCGGGGATTGTGTGCGGAGCCGGCGACGCTTCAGGCACGGGCGCGACTGGAGCGGTCGAGGCGGAGCGTTGGGCGGGGGGAGCGCAGCGAAGCCGAGCGGTGATCTGACGCGCTTTGATCGCGACGGAGGAGATAGCATCGGTTGGCTCGCGGGCGGCGACGCTGGATTCTGCGTGAGCCGGGAGGTGCGCCGACGCCGCCGGAGGGGGAGGCGGACATCACGTTGACACAGCGCGACGAGCAGGTGTTCTGGCGTGAGGCTGGAGGGGGGACGAGGAGGAGGTGCGGTGGTTGCGGTGAGCGAGGGGAAGCGGGCCAGCGAGGAGGCGATGCTGGGGCGGCACCGGGAGCGGTATGAGACGGCGCGCGACGGCACTCCATGAGGGGCGTGACGATCCGCAGCGCCGGAAGCGCTTGTATGAGAAGGTGATGGACACGGTCTGGGCGGCCGGGAGCGATATCGGCAGGTGTCTGCTGCGCAGGATGAGGTGGAGTGGGAGGTGAGAAGGGCCTGCGCGGCCCGAATCCGCGACGGCCTGGTGTTTTTTGTGACGCCGGGACACGAAGCGGTATTGGGGCGCGGGACGCGGGGGCGGGTTACGTATCTGCTGCGGTCTCCAGCCCGGACGGGCTGCGGGCCGGAGCAGATCGTGCGAACTGCGCTACTGGCGGCTGACGGAGGGATCGAGGCGCCGTTCCGGTCGTTCGCTCAGACCGGACCCGCGTGTTTTTGTTTGACTGCTGGGTACATTGCGATGGTTTTGGCACGT